GATCTGGTCAAAGCTCTGCCGGAGGCGGGAGTTGAAGATCTCTCTGACAGGGGATTCTGCTAAACGTTCCCAACAGACCCTCACAATACGTTTGGGTCTGCCGAGTCTGTCCAGCTTACTCCCCCACCATCGGATCCAGCTCACCACCAGGTGGTGATCAGTTTTCTCAGCATTATGCATGTTTTTTTTCTGCACACCTGTTTCAAACCCCCATTCTCTGGTTGTCATGATTAAGAAATGCCACCTTTAGAGGGCTATATACTGATTATGAGATTAGGGTAGGGCTGTGATTGATGATTCTAGATTAATTGATAAAGTGATTAATTGTCTTTCTAAATGTCAGAATATAGTGAAAAATATCTATCACAATTTGCTGAATCGTCATTTAAGCTGTAGATGGGGGCGTCCCCTCATAATTTATTGTACTTATTCTGCTTGGAAGACACAAGAAGACTCTTAATTTAACAAATCAACTTTAACTGTGCTGTTGCTCTTATTTTCAACTCGCACTCTGTTCATTATTAAACTGGGAGATAGACTGTGCAGCCAAACTCTGGCTCAAAACCAGAACTTTTTTGGAAGCAAATGTGTTTTAAAATACCAAACATGTCAAGCAAGTTTTTTGGGCAGCTGCCTCTAAAAATATGCAAAAAATAATAATTTAGAAGATTTCCATTTGAACACCATATAATGTCAATAAATTGTTGGAGCAAGTCAAATACAGGCAGTATGTAATTTGCTGTCAGACAGAGCGGGATAGGAGGATTTGTTTCAAACTTTAAAGCAAATGAAAGGGGAAAGCTAAATGTTGACTTACTTGTGGTGAAACATGAATCATTGCTGCAGATTACTAGATAACACGTGCCAGCTGTCCATAATAACTTGATCTGTTTTTCACACTCCAACTTTAACATCATCAGGTGATGTGACCAGTTTGTGGTTGTAATGGTGTACTTTACTCCTGGCTTATAACCTAACAAATGTAGTGAAAGGAGGATTTCTGAAAGCCTTGTTTGCCAGTAGGATGACTTCTTAATGTAGCGTGGCAGTGCCTATATAATTTTCTCCTCACCTTCACCCGTCAGGTGCTGTGGCTAGTACTGAGGTGAAAATGCGTCTCCAGGAGTTTGTCCTGAACAAGAAGAAGGCCCTGGCCCAGCGGAGCCTCAACCAGGGAGGGGTCCCCAACGATGCTCCCTACTGGTACCGGTGAGGAACCTTTGCTACTCAATTAATTACAGTCAGAAAAGTAGAACACATGCATATAGAGTTGGCCCTCACTTCCAGGGTACAGTATGCATTGCATGGCATGTTTAGATATCATCACCGTTCTAACACAGATTAATCACCTGTCAGTTTGCATAAATACCTCGGCTGCCTTTAGTGTATTTGTAACGAGTGTAAGCAGTAGATAGCTGTTTGGATGGCAGCTCTCTCTCTCACAGCAGATGAATAATGTATTGGATTGCATCTTAATATGTCAGTGACCTTCTGCTCTTCCTCACCTGCCACACTGTGCGAGCCTGACGGAGAGACGGCTCAAGTAGGGTTATAAAACAAAGATCGGAATACACGTGCACATCCACGTGAGAGTGGGATATTGCTACCTGATGATAGGGGCTCTTACACTGAAGCGCAGCCTTGAACGTTTATTGTAGCATCTCTGGAGCGCTTTGCAGGTGTGTACACTTGATAGTGTATGAGTACGTGTATACTCTAAAATAATTATGTGTTGTAGTTCGATGTAGGACATGTAGGACAGGATTGTGTTTTTCATTTTGGTACAATAAAAGCACTAAAACCATGAAATGCAAACACACAACCAAACAAATAAAGTTACATAATCTTGATGTGTGACCCAGTGAAACACCCACAAGTGTTGACTTCCAACAGCTCAAAGTGATGCAAAGCGTCTCTTTCTATATCCCGTCTCTCCTTTTCTGTGCTTTCTGTCCCTAATGTAAGTTTTCTCCGCTCACCGGAGTCATCAGCCCCCTCACTTTTGGAAGAGATGAGTGTGTGTACATCCGTTTGTCAGGAACATGCATTTGGGCTGAAGCCAGCTCAGCTTAACTTTGCCTACAAACACCGCTTTATTCTGTAGGCAGTGAACAGATGGCAGCACATGTCTGCGGCCTTGCCAAGGGATTTGTGTGATGCTCTAATCATACAGATCTATGACAGCCATGAAGTTCGTTACTTTGTTGGGATTAGTCAGTCACGTGTTTGCAGTGTTATCAGCGTTTGGCCTTGTTTCACATAATTTTGTGATATTTGTGGCATCTTTAAAACTGTGTGTTTGCATCTATAGCAAAACCCAGCACAGCTCTCTGGACCAGAGCTCGCCTCCACAGACTGGTGTGTCCACCTACAACCACCCTGTGCTGGGCGTCTACAACCCCCGGGATGACTTCCCACTGCGAAAGACTGGTACATCACACACACATGCTTACACACACAGTTTTGTCGGTGCAAAGGCGTCTGTTCCTACGTGAGCTCACGTTTAGAGAGGATCCCACATTCACACATTTGGAAACCGTATCATCCAGTAGCTGCTATGCAGACTCATGTCTAGCATAATTTAGATGGCACCAGAGCTCTGCACCATTAATCACATCCACGTTAGGCTGTTATTGTCTCCCAGCATCCCGCGCACGAGAGTGTGAGAGAGAGTGCGAGTGTTGTCAGTTCAAGAGTTCAACAGTGAGAGAGGTTTTTATCATTTGAGCACCTGATGTTTTATTAGATTTTAGTTGTTTCTTAACCTGAGGGCTGTTTTGAATCTGCTGGTGTTCAACAGTGTCTTAAGAAACCTGAGCTCGAAGCCAACAGGCTTAATACTTACAGAATGGTCCTTTTTGGCCAAGGTTTAGAGCGGGTGATGTATACTAGGGTTCTTTAAAGTATCAGACTGTTGGAGATTGTCACTGATATTTCATAGCTGGCAGTTGTACAGTTTGTGCTGCTGGACCTTTCTGCTGCCTTTCATTTGTTTTGCAATTGCATGTAAATGTTGAGGCACATTGCTGCTTCAGGGACTAGCTGACTCTTACACTAAGCAGATTCAAGGATGTTGTAACAAGGAATATATGTTTTCTTTTTTGTGGGTCACAGAACTCGTCAAAAGTTATTACAGCAGCTAAAACTGCAGAATGCACCGCTGGTAAAAAGATTTATTGTGGCCTACCATCTTCATGCTTCACTGCTGAAGGACAGAAGCCTTAGCAGAGTGCAGTGTGTTTTTGTCAGGTGTATGTATGTATGTTGCTTTGTTTGTGTGTGTAAGTGGCATGTGCGGTGGTGTAGCCGTGAAGCAGCGGTTGTCTCACAGTGTAATTATTCACTTAGTGCGGCGGCAGGCGGCTACAGCCAGTGCTCCAGGTCTGTTGACTCAGAGCCTTTGGGCTGCTGGATACGACAGCAGAGAGACCACAGCTGACACTGGCCACACAGTCACATTCCTCCCCTGGGAGAGCGGAAGATGAAGTGAGGGAGAAAGGAAGAGAAATAGAAGTGTGAAAAGGGAGGGAAGGAGAGATGGTGAAGTGATCAGGAAGAGGAGCAAGCACAGAACATGAGAGCTGGCAAATCCAGCAAGTGACACAGTTATACCACACTCCCAAAAACTTGCTTTTATACAGAGAAAAGTAAAAAAAAGGCAGGAGTGAAAAGATTGTCTCTGGAGTGTCAGTTCATCCCCTGATGTCCAGGGGACAGTCTGGGCACTGTGCTCGAGTGCAGAGAGAAGAGAGAACCTGTGCCACCCTGAAATTTTGCCCACAGCGATGACGTGCTTTGCGGCATTTACTTATGGTAATGCCACCTCAGGAGAGGGTAGAGGCTCTTTGATATCACTGCCGGGCCATGAAGTAGCGGACTGGCACCCTGGGTTCCCAGCAATGGTTAAAGGAAGCAACAGCACGCTCCCCTTTTACAGTTTAGAAATCTAGTGAGGCTGATACTTTCACCCACAACACAGTGAAAGCAGGGTGACAGCAGACTAGGCTAAAGTCATTTATGACAGATAACTCAAGAATCCTAAAGTTTTAATCCTGAAAAAGGTCAGTCCTGGTTCTTTTGACAATAACTGTGGTTACTGCGGTAGCAGCAGGTGGGTTTAGAGGAAGGTTTGAGGCCCTCCACTCACAGTGCAAATCGTGCTGTTCCTGTCTTTTCACTGATGTTGCAAATGGGTTTTTGTGCTGTAACTGGGGCAGCCTGTCCTTCACATGGATATGGCAGTGTACAGCACTTGGCGATCGTTGATAACTAGACTGCACAGCTCTGCCACAAATACAAAGCAACAACAGGCTAATTACTATCATTGTTTTGTAGTGCGGCCCATTTGCTCAGTGTTCCTGACTACCCTCAGATCAGCTTCTGGGAAAATAAGCTGTCATCAGTCCTAGAAACTGTAAATGAAGTAATATTTCCTTTTTATGTTTTCATTTCAATCATTTTAATCAAATCTCTTTCCCAAAAAGAGGTCACAATCTTCTGATATCCAGCCTTAATCAAGTCAGTCCAATTTTATTTTTACAGCCCAGTATCATCATGACTGGAGAAATAGCCTTGGATTATTAAAGAAAACCACTTTAGAAAGTCTCTTTAGGAATCTCTTGATGAAAACTAGGTTAACCATTAAGGACATTTGGCTCATCATCAGTCTCTGACGTAGCTTTTATTCCCTGTAAAGTGGATAGGCAGGGCAGGAAGGATGATGTCTCATTAAAAAAAACATCATTTTGCTCATTTTGGGGAAGCTATGGACCTCACAGCTCTGCTCTACAAAAGCAGCAACTGTGGAAACTGAAAATGAGAAAAAAGTTTTAAAGTTTAAAGACGACTTAGCTAAAATTGTACTAAAGCTGTGTAAAATTGTTAAATATTTTGTTAAACACCCCCAAAAAGCAAAACAGGTACTCAGATATACAAGCACATATTGCACTGTAGAGGTGGTAAAACAAAGTCAGAAGGTTTAAACTCAGTTTTGACAAAATATTTAGGTTCGGCATTTTGGCTTTGTTGACCAAGATTACTTATAATTTTCTTTTGCAGAAAACTTTGATCTTCTCTTTTGCCAAATATCTAAGAATCAAACTTAGGGACAGGGAACCCCAGAAATCCACCAACTCCCTTCAGCATTAACAAGTTTGGCTCCGTCTGAGTAGAGCTCTCCCTCCCACTCTGTGCCGCTGTACCTTCACACTTCATACTTCACACTTCACTCTTTTCCACACATTTATTTTTACCTGACACTTAATGGGAACAAGTTCATTTTTGATTAATGCTTCCCAAAAGGATTTCTCAGAGACGTTTGATACAGGGAAGCAGCTTTTCAGTATGTGTACCTGTACCAACCTGATATAGCATCAGATTCATCTGGCTGTTTCATAATCAGAGTTGGTGGTGCACCGCATTTGGATTAACCCTCCTCTGAAGATTAAGACTTGGATAATGAATAGTGAAATTATCTAAAGCCGCTGATTGACAGGGCAGAGTAAACAGAGCATTAGCCTTGATGGCTGCAGCCAAGGTGTGACATGATGTTCACTTCTCCCTGTTTCCCTTCACTAGTCTGTGGCAGAAAACACAAAACACCAAAAGGCCACTAGACAGTCAGACATGACTCCCAAATTGAGGTTTAATTGCTTTTTAGCACCACCATCTTTGGGAGAATGGATCAGAATTTGGTTTGCTCATATAGCTTCTGAATTGTACAATAGCAGTGTGTAACAGTTTGTCTACCAAGAGCAGCTCTGTGGAAGAGACTCCTTGACACATCAATGTGATCAGCTCCCAGTTTAAACTGAAAGCCTGTGAGACTGTAGCTCAGGTGACTCTCCCACCCTTTTGACTTATTAGTCTGTGAACATCTGCAGAGTCATATAGTCACAAATTACACAGCAGCTTTTGACCTTTCTCAGGCTGCAACAAGAACCTTGTTATAAGTACAACATTTAATCAGGCACAGGTGTGGCTCCTAATTAAAGATATGTTCCTTTTTAAGGTTTCGTTCTTAAGTTGGTGTTTGTTATCACGGACGGATTTTAATTGGATTGACCAAACAGCAGTTTAGCATTCAGACTGTGAATGAACGAATCAGTCACGTTTGTTTCGTCTGTCTCCTTCCTCCTTTCAGCCTCGGAGCCCAACCTGAAGCTGCGCTCCAGGCTGAAGCAGAAGGTGAGCGAGCGGAGGAGCAGCCCGCTGCTACGTCGCCGAGACAGCCCCATCACCACCGCCAAGAAACGCTCACTGGACATGGCAGGCAAGAGGCTCACACACATGCCAGTTCTTCTTATAATGTTTCATTTTAGGCAGCTGCTTGTTTTTGTCACAGTGTGTATTTGATTTGTGCGTGTGTGTTTCAGACTCCGCGTGCAGCAGCGCCCCCGGCTCAGGCCCAAGCTCCCCAAATAACAGCTCCAACAACATCCCCAATGAGAACGGCATCACTGTGTCAGTCTCCAATAACACAGAGGTAACGCGCACACACACACACACACACACAGCAAGTAAGTTGCTTTTTCACCCGGGGGTTAGAATATCAGCCGGTAAATGAACCGGCTGATATTCTGGGCTGTTTATTGGTTTCATTTAGTTTTGATTGTGTCACCTAACTCTTATAAGAAAATCCTAAATGAACTCAGTCAATAAACACTGTGAATCCTTCACTCTGTAGTTTATACACTTTAATCTTTACTTCTCTATTTACATCTTCAGTTACAGGCAGTTCTATCCCTAAACAAGGAACTTGCCAACATTAAACCATTGCCTTTTTTTGGCTTCTACCAGTTAGAAAAGTTTTAAGGTGAAGTGATGGCCAGTCATTTCTCCCTTGCACAAAATAAAATAGTTTAGAAACCCTAAATATTTGTTAGCTTTAGCATAAACCTGTCAGTGTTTAAAGGTAAGTATTATGGAACAGCCTCAAGAACTATACCTAGACTATAAACAAATTATGCAACCTTTTGCTGTCAGAGCAGTGCTGTTTTTTTTTGTGTGGGTGCTGCGCTACAGGTGCTAGTTGTCAACAGCCTATAGGCTCTAAGTGAGGGTTACTCAGGTGATGAGTTGGCAGAGGAGGACGACAACCGAGGAGCGGGCATGATGCTATTTGTGACAGCCATTAGGGGTTCTCAGGCAGTGTGGAGGAGCCTTGTGGCAGTGGCAATTTTAGCCCATCAGTAGGATGCACATGTATCTCTTTCCCCTTGTGTGGACATATACTGCTGTAGAGTGAGGGCTGGAGTTTTTTTTTATGATGCAAACACTGATAAATCATTTAAATGTGCTTCCCAGGTGTCTCTGGCCCAGAGGCTATGCAGCGGGGCCGAGCGGGGCTCTGTTAACCAGCTGTCCCTCTACACTTCACCATCCTTACCCAACATCACCCTGGGGCTGCCTGCCACTGCCACTGCTGCTTCCAGTGTAAGGAAACTACTGCCAAGCTGGCCAAATAGCTCACAGACTGTGTATCTAGTTAACTGTGGATTTGTCTGTCTGGAGAGTATTGTGTGTGACTATTTACTCTGAATCAGCCCTCACCGTCCTTGCTGTCCCTCCTTTTAGGTGACCTCGGCCCAGCAGGACGGAGGTCTGCAGCCTGCCCTCTCCCTCAGCCCTCCCTTCCTGTCTGGCGGCCACTTGACCCCCTACCTGGCTGAGGCTGCAGCGGGAACAGGCGGACACGGTGCACACAGTCCCCTGCTCCAACACATGGTGCTCATGGAGCAGTGCCCGGCACAGAGCCCCCTAGTGACAGGTGGGAAGAATAATGGGGATTTTATAAAGTTGGTAGTGATTATTAGTAGTAGCACATTTGGTAAACTGATGGTAATGACAGAAAGACCAGCAACGCACCAAATGTAACATCATGTTTCTGTTTTCCTCCTGATGTTCTCTGGCAATGCACAAAAAGAACACCATCATGTGTCTGTAGTACACTGTGTGCCCCCTCACACTGACAGACACCCATTCATTAGCTCAAACTAATGAGCTCCTTTTATATGTCAGTGTATGCTTTGAAAGTGTGACATGGTTGCATTGTGTGCGCTTTCCCTTCAGCTCATCCACTGACTGCTACATTGCTGCTATTTCCAGCTTGGCATTAGTAGTGAATGGACAATGACGCACATACAGACGCATGTGTGTGTGTATCCATGCAAAAAAATGTGTAGACAAGGACATGTGTATGCCCACACACACACACACACACACACAGGTCAAGAGCAGAGAGTGGTTTATTCATTTATTTATTTATTTATTTATTTACACACCCCAGGTGCAAGAGATTTCTTCTCAGTTCAGATAAGGGAAAGTCATGTTTGTGGTCTCCATATCCAAGTATCACAAGCCATTTCTAGTTCTACTATGTGGTAGCCATGCAGCGGCAGAATGTCTGAAAGCTATCTAAAAAATACTCGGGTACATATTTTATCTCATATTTGCAAAGTATTCAAGCTTTTCAGATCATTTTCCAGGCTCGATGTAATCTGGTTTCTTACTCGTCTCACCCAGATGATACACTGTAAATGGGCTTAGATGTTTACTTTTCCTGGCCTGTATCATCACAAGAGAACAGTATGGCAGCGCAGATGGTAGTTCATATTTGGTTCACACATATATCTGTTAACCAGTCTTAGGCCCAACACTAATGAGAGTGAAATTAGGGCTTCATGTGTTGATGTGTGTGCATTACATATTTACCTAGAATTTTAGGAATTTTTAATGCAGCTCAAGGGTTCAGGGTTTTTCCTCAGGTGTCAGATCAGTCGCTGAACGGTTCTCCCCTTCATTCAAAACTACATGAGCCTTTCCAGTTCTGCCACCACAATAGACCATGCTGTTACACAGCCATGAATCATAGCGACACCTGGTCTAAATAGTTCATAAGGTTCAGGTGGAGTGGCAGAAAGCCATAGTTCACTGTCGCTTTCCTAAACAGCTAAAATGATGTTGTTGTTCTGCCATGCTTGGTCTAAAGGTTCAGCTGACTGTACCTCAAGTACACTTTTTTGCTTGTGTGAATGTCCAGTTATTTTGCTAAGCTTGCAAGAAGTGCAGTAGTCCTGGAGCTCAGACCCTTAACAGAACAGATCCATAAGGGTCTCCAATCAAAGATAACTTTTGCTGCCCAGACAAATGTGGAGCCAAGCTTGTAGTAGCGTCTATAACCTGTTATGCCTCTTAGAACTAAAGTCTCCCTTTTTTGTGTTCTAGGTGTAAGCGGCCTGTCCATGTCATCGGCAGCGTCCATGGCTAAGCTGCAGCGGCAGCATCGGCCCTTGGGGAGGACCCAGTCAGCCCCACTACCCCAGGGGAGCGCCGCCCAGGCTCATGCCCAGGCCCTGGCCTTGCAGCAGCTGGTGGTCCAACAGCAGCACCAGCAGTTTCTGGAGAAGCACAAGCAGCAGTTCCAGCAGCAACAGCTCCACCTCAATAAGGTACAAGTTGGAGACACTTGATTAGATTTTTTTCTTTCTGTTATCTCCCTTTGCCCCTAATTTCAGTAGTTTTGGCATTGTAAAATCACTGCTGTCATGCTGTCAAGTATCAAAGTCAGTGAAGGAAGTCAGAAGAAACTGAACCAAGAGGCATAAAACTATCAAAGGTAAAACAAAAAAGAAGCTTCTACTGTAAATTGTAATATTTAATTAACATATTCATTTTTAATTCTATTGTGCTTGTATGCAAATAGTTCTTTTTTTGTTTAGCATGTTGTAAATGCTTTCATTATGCTCACTGTACTGACGGAGGTGGGTGAAAGAAGAAGCCACAGATCTGACATCACATTCAAATAAACTGATAATTCATTAGGCCTTTAAGCCACAGTGGGCCAGCACAGCAGCTGTAGTGTAGTTGTTTGTGTAGGCGGCAGCCAGTAACACAGCCAATAACATGTTGTAGCTGTGCGCGTGTGAAGTCCTTGATTTTATTCTGCCACTTTCTTCCTCTCTCTGCCTCTCTCTCTGTAGTATTTATGTTTGTGAGTGGGCGGAGGTAAGTATGGGTTAACATGTATAGCAGAGTGTGTGAGCGTGTGTGAATGTTTGCATCCTCTTCTCTGTGTGACTGTGGCCGAGACAGTTGCCACGGGCTGCGAGGTAACAGTGCGCTGCCATGGCAACGGAGCGGAAGCGTCTCCCTTATATGGTCAGAGAGGAAGCAAGCAGCCGGCACTCTGTTTGGCTTCACCTGTTCAAGCAGCGTACTCGCTGTTGGAGAGGTGGGTGGATGAAACAAGGGATTTCCTCCCCCCACCCCCCGCTCCACTGCTCTGCTGTGCTTTCTCTCTATCGCTCCAAATGTTTCAGAGGTCTCAAGTTGCAGCTTTTCACACAAACATCTCTTTAATGGCAACTGGCATGCCAAGGACGGGTCCTTCAGGAGATTTTCAGGACTAAAATCAAAACCTTAGATTCAAACGTTCTTTTATTCTATTGAATTTATCAGAATACCAGAGATTAAGATCTTTTTTTTCCTCTTCAGTTTTATTTTCTATCCTAAATATTTTCATGTAAATAGAGGTGAAACCATTAGTTCATACAGTATATTACTAAAAATAACACTTCTTATTGTCACTCAGCAATAGGAAAAGCATTGTCTGTTTAGATTTGCAGCTGTTTCGTGTTTTATATCATGGTACAAAACTGAAAATCTGATTTATCGATTTACCTTTTTTTGCTGATTCTGATTGATTCCACTCTCGTGAAGCTACAGCCCATTAGCTTAGCTTATCTTAGAGACTGGAAACCAGCCCAAAGGTAACAAAATCTACTTACCAGCACCTCTCAAGCCTCCTGGGTAACATGATACATCTTGTTTGTTTAAACCGTACAAAAACCAAAGTGTAAAATATCGATGAGTTGTGGTTTTACAGGGGGATTATCTGCCAGATAACACAAAAGAAAACTTTGTTGAACTCTTCCTTTAGATACCTATAGTTAAGTTCTAAGAACAAATCAGATATCTCAGGCTCAAGCTAACCGATTAGCTGGTTGACAGAAAGTAAATTAGTTTGAAAATCAATTCATCCTTGTTCTTGCACATTTAGTTGCTCCAGCTTCTCACATGTGAGGATTTGCCGTTTTCCTTTGTCTTTGGTTTTAGACAGTTGAGTGAATACAGTACAACAAGCGACTGGAAGATGTTGTTTCGGGCTCTGGGAAATAATTATTGGCATTTCAAACATTTTTTGACATTTCTAAACCAGACAGTGTCACAGGAACATGATCATTTGTCTTTTATCATCTGTGCCTGTGTTCTGATGTATCCACAGAAACTAGCTGCATCGACAAGCAGGGAAAGGAAGAGTATCAAATTAAACCAGATAAAGAGGAGGTTTCAGGGAAAGTAGAGCAGAGGAGGGTGATGGGGTTGCGGGAGGAGGTGGGGGAGAGAACTTTGTTTGGACGCAAAGAAGACAAGAAGAAGACAAGAACAGTAGAGCTGGGGGGGTGGTGTGAGAGCTGGTGAATGCTCTGACGTCAATGCTGTCCCCTGGCACAGACCCAGGGGGCCCAGAGGATTACAGCTCTGGGAAACACACATACACCCCCTCCTACACACGCCTGTAGATGTAAACCACTCTTGAGACTTCCAGCAAACACTTTGCTTTCTCACCATTCTCTTAGCCTACACTTCATGAACACACACACACTATGGAGGCGAGCACTCCACAGCATTGAATGGCTCCTGTCACTGAGAGTGAATGAATAGACAACTGAATCACTGCTTGGTTAACAGCAGGCCGCAGAATGAGTCGATAAAAATCGGCACAACGGGGCGTGTGGAATGTCTTTGTCCGATGTGACACATTTTGCCCCGGAGTGCAGTCGACAGACTGGACACTCATATTCAGTTATGACGGATGGGTCTAAAATCTGACTGAGCTTGTTAAAATAAGAATGCACCAGAGAAAGGAGTGAGGTGCCAGGAATTTGATTCAGATACGAGCATGCCCATTTGTCTGAATGCAGCCTCACACATTGGAGGGGATGTGTCACATCCTGCTGTTCAGTTGTGAAATAAATTTCACATCGTAGCATCATCACCCTCATCCCTCCCTCCCTTCTCCCGCAGATGATAGCCAAGCCCAGCGAGTCACCCGTGGGCCGTCAGCACCAGAGCCACCCCGAGGAGACAGAGGAGGAGCTGAGGGAGCACCAGGATGGCACCGCTCTGCCGCCAGGGGTCACCATCAAGCAGGAGCCCCCCGACCCGCAGGAGCTGCAGGAGGATGTGCTGCAGCAGCACAGGGAGAGGGAGCGAGAGAGGCAGGCGGAGCAGGAGCTACTCTTCAGACAGGTAGGGGACAAAAGTTTAAAAGTGAGACACCTGCCCTGGTTTACACCTGTAAAACAATGTAGGCTGAGGGAATCGATTGAGCATTGAGTCTCTGACTCTGCTTGGTGCTAATATATGGTGGTGTGCTTGAGAAAGTCTTGGAGAAGTGAAATCACAAAGAACAGACACTGAGATGTAATTTGTGACAGTGTTGCTTCGTGGCCCACAGTCTCCCTGTGATTAATACAGAACTGCATTGTTTGTTTTGGCTGCCATCTTTTGGCCATACGTTGTACTTGCACTTTAAAATATGTTAGTCATTCTTATTCATTTTAGTCCCCTAATGCATTCACATTATAGGCATTACAGAAAACTCCTTGTGGAGAATTTATTACCAGTAGTTCACTTTAATTTGTCCATCTGAGCAGCAGGCCTTGTTGTTGGAGCAGCAGCGGATTCACCAGCTGAGAAACTATCAGGCCTCGATGGAAGCTGCTGGCTTGTCAGTCTCCTTCCCAGGACACCGGCCCCTGTCCAGGGCCCAGTCATCTCCAGCCTCTGCTTCCTCTTTTCCATTGAGTGTTCCAGCCCCGGATCCTCCTGTCAAACCTCGATTCACCACAGGTAAGCGCCACCATCCTCTGTCACTGAAGAATTCCTTGTGTCTACATACTTCAAGCTGTTCAGCACATGTATCACTTTTAAATCTCAAATCACTGTCAAGCTGCCAGTGGTATTTATTTCCACAATTGTAGCCTCCCTTTAGTCTGCCTTGAGCATTTGTTTGAGTTTTGGCTTCAAATTTTACTTCCCTCATAATACACTGGGGACCGTAAAGAGAACGTTGCATCCAAAAAGCAGGTGAATTGGCCAGAAAACTGTGTAATGGTTCCGGCCTCCATCTGGTAGCAACAATAATCGAGCTAGAAAAGTAAACCTCGCCAAAAAAATTTTTTTTTTTTGCTCCCACGTTTTGTTACTCTCAGACATTGAACTCTTTGAACAAGTAAGAAGAATGAAGCTCCTGCCCGACTTAAGACTTAAGTTTTATTGCTCTGAGGATGCTCAATACTGCGATGGTTTTGCTTGCATGAACAGTTTGACCTACTTTACTCCCACTCAGTTTCAAACTGCGTCAAAAAGTTAGAGAAGAAAGTGGCATTCGAATGAGAAGTCATAGTTTAATATTAATGTGCGTTCATAACAACTGTGAGCACAAGATGAACACAAACACACCTGACGTTTCATAATGTGAGGGCGAGAAAAACAAGACAGTCAGTTAGAGCAGTCAGCAGTTACATAAAAAGTAAAAGAGTGCAGGATATAAAGGTTCATGGCTGTGTGTATACGTGTTTTAATGAGTGTGTGTGTGTGTGTGTGTGTGTGTGTTTTCAGGCCTGGTGTACGACTCTCTCATGCAGAAGCACCAGTGTATGTGTGGAAACACCAACAGCCACCCAGAGCACGCAGGGCGGATTCAGAGCATTTGGTCTCGGCTGCAGGAGACCGGACTCAGAGCGCAGTGCGAGGTGCGTTACACGTGGAAATAGCTCCTCTGTGAACTTCACACAAAGTAGTTAGCTGCATCTGAGTGTGTGTGTGTGTTTGTAGTGTATCCGTGGGAGGAAGGCCACTCTGGAAGAGCTGCAGACGGTTCACTCTGAAGCCCACGTCCTGCTGTATGGAACCAATCCTCTCCGACAGAAACTTGATTGTAAGCTCACACAAACAAAGCTATGCACACGTGCACAGCAGCAGTTTCATTCAGCTACTGATGTGCAGTCATCAGCTTTCCCTAATTGAATGTTTATTTCCTGACCACCAGGTTCAATCACTCCCATGTTTGTACGGCTGCCGTGTGGAGGAGTGGGGGTAAGTGCATTTGTAGAGTGAGCTAATACACAAGATGGTAGCGTGACACACTGACACACAGGCTTCTAAAACGCTAGTCTGAAAATGTTGTTATAAGTACAAAACTTACAGAAAAGCTGTTGTAAAAAACCTATAGAAACACAATGAAGAAGGAAATGTGTTCAGTTTAGTTAGAATTCAAAGAAATAAAATGCAAACACAACAGAAAATATATTAAATACAGTTGCTGTGCAGTTAGATTTAGAAAAACAAAATAGCATACATTGCTTGAAACTGATTAGCATTAGGAAGATTTCTAAGTGTTGAACTTTTAATTTTTGAGTCTGCTACTGTGTGGCCTCCTTCACGTTCTTTTTCGATTGTGGATGTAGCTCAGGTGACAGTCGTGTGTTTTCCAGGTGGACAGCGACACCATTTGGAACGAGGTCCACTCCTCAAGCGCCGCTCGTCTCGCTGTCGGCTCTGTGGTGGAGCTCGTTTTCAAAGTGGCTATTGGAGAGCTAAAGGTAGCCACAGAAAGGAAAATCTGTTACTTGTACATGACTTTGAAAGTTCTTTTCTTCAGATCCGCTTATGTAAAATAATTCCACCCGGATTTATTGTTTTGACGAGGTTGCAGGTGAAATGTCTCAGACAGAAACTACAGTACCCTCTGAGTTTAGTTGAATGACTGGATTCATGGATTGATTACAATCACACGTGTTTGTTCTACAGTATTTTTAGTGGTGGTTTGCCACTGTTTAGAAAACACAGAGGAAACAGTGGTGTTGAGTGCCTGTCTGTCTTTCCAGAATGGCTTTGCTGTGGTCCGCCCTCCTGGACACCATGCGGAGGAGAGCACTCCCATGTAAGGCTAGCACCATCTGCACTCAGCCGAGACACTCGGCCTATGTAGATACAAATACCAGCATCAGAACAGGCTCATCTGGAATAGAAATTACATAAACCATAGCATTTATTTGTACATAAAGGACTAAGTGCCCTTACTTTGCCAACTGTTTCAAGGACTGCCTTGTTTGTTTCCAACATCTTTCTCACACCGTGTTTGAAATGAACTAGAAAGACATGAAAATGGAGCAGGAAAGTGCTTTGGCTGGACAACTCAGCCCTCTGTCTACTGCTGTTTCAGGGGTTTCTGCTATTTCAACTCTGTGGCCATCGCTGCCAAGCTGCTGCAGCAGAGACTCAACATCAACAAGATCCTCATTGTGGACTGGGTCAGTCGTCTCTGTTGTTTGTATTAAACAGGACCAGTTAGAACTGATGGTTTCCCTTTTGTATATTATTAAAAAGCATGTGGTGTGGAGAGGCTTGTGACTAAATCATGTGTCCTATCTACGCTCAGGACGTTCACCATGGCAACGGCACCCAGCAAGCCTTCTACGATGACCCCAGTGTCCTTTACCTGTCTATTCATCGCTATGACGATGGCAACTTCTTCCCTGGAAGTGGGGCACCTGATGAGGTGAATGTGGTTTTTTTTTTTTCACCTTGTCAACGAAACATTCCAAGTGCATTGTGGGAAACATTCAGTACTGGATTCAGTTTGTACAGATAATTTGGATTTGTTCTGCCAAATAAGTTGATTTTGAATGAACATTAAAACTATTGTATGACATAATTAATAATCAGGTGATGGCCATTTTAGAGCAGTAGTTTAGGATCATTTTCATTAACCTGTTGATTATCTTTTAGTTAACTGATTAGTCTCCGAGTCTATAAAATGTCAGAAAATAGTGGAAGAAAATCCATCAAGTTCATTAGGAACAAATACTCGGCAATATTTCCAAATATTAATGTGGATTGGTCCTGTGCAAATGTGGGATTCACTTGTGTGGTTTTCCTCTCAGGTGGGCAGCGGTCCTGGTGTCGGGTTCAACGTTAATGTTGCCTTCACTGGAGGCCTCGATCCACCCATGGGAGATGTAGAGTACCTGGCTGCCTTCAGGTACCAGGCTTTCTTTGTAACAGTGCCGTTTTCAGCTACTCCGAATGGTTTATTTAGCTTCAGAAGTGTGAGAATTTTGTCAACCCATAAAGAAACAATGAATTGCTCAGTTTAACTAAATTACTTGAAAACCACTTTGGGCATGGATTGTTGTAATCAGACAGCAACATTGTCTTTTGTGTGAAACATGATGAGAAAAATGAGCAATATGCAGAAGATGTTGAAATGAACGCCACTCCTGGGGAAAGGTTTGCTGTATTTTGGGTCATAAAATCAAAAATAAAGTAAGTGTGAGGTTTGTTTGACTGTCATGACATATTGGCTGTCACGCTGTGTAATTTCTCTCCTCCATCCTGCACTCCCAGGTCAGTGGTGATGCCCATAGCCAATGAGTTTGCTCCCGACATTGTGCTGGTTTCTTCGGGCTTCGACGCTGTGGAGGGACACCCTCCACCGCTGGGTGGCTACACTCTGACGTCCAAATGTGAGTGTGGGATTATCTGAGGTTTGTTTCTTATCTCATGCTCCAGCAGACAGCTGCACAGAACCAACACATGCACACAATTTGGAGATAAGTTGTGTTTCTCAGGAAGACAAATAGCTCAGATCTAAAATGCATTCAACTTCTGTAGCATACCACTGATTCATTCTGTAACATTTCTCCAGGTTTTGGCTATTTGACCAGGCAGCTGATGACCCTCGTTGGGGGCCGGGTGGTCCTGGCTCTGGAGGGGGGTCACGACCTCACCGCCATCTGTGACGCCTCCGAGGCCTGTGTGGCCGCCCTGCTAGGCCAGGAGGTAAGGAGGTCACTTTGCCAGCACACAAGAATCCTACTCAGTGTTCCTTAAGCTAAATCAAAGGGTGGATGTTGGAAACAAGATGGGTGGGACAAAGCCGAGCGTGTTACTGCAGTTGTAAGCCAGGCTCCAAAACCCCTCTGTTTCTGCTTCTGTTATTCTAAACCTGCCTGGGGACATTAAGTAATTTTTATAAATAGACCTTTCATTTATTTTTAGCTCATATTAATCTGCTGAGTTAGAAATGAAAATAAAAATGAAGAAATTAAGCAACAACAAAAAGCTGGTAGTTAGGGTGAGGACGATGATCATTAATCCAACCCAAAACTACCGTTACTCTGGCTGTAATCCGGTCTCCTGCTTCTTACAGATGTGTGATTTAATCTTATAATATATGGAGGCAGGGGTGGAATTTGTGGTATAAGTTGTACTTTTGTGCATTATTTCCATGTTGACCCCTTGTGGAAGGTATTAGAAATTCGGCATGACGCATGCTTGTGTTTTTATGTCCTGCGTGTTTGTCTGGTGCAGCTGGACCCACTGCCAAAGGCCGTCCTCGAGCAGAGGCCCAACCCCAACGCTGTTCGCTCTCTGGAGAAAGTCTTAGAGACTCACAGTGAGTTCGTTCTCAGTTACATGACACTGATATATACACACAGAGGTGCACATACTTAAAGTTTTTGTATATGATTCAGAACAGTACAACAGAACTTTTGTAGCTTATTGACATTTGGAGCGAGTTACAAAGAGGCAGGAGTCAGATTTGTGATTCTTGTGCATGTTAAACTTTCAGAAAACTGACACATTATATATATATTCCTACATATGTAAAATGCTAATCTACTAAAGTATGTTTATGAGACAAATGTTCTTGTTACTTTTGGGCCCTTTGTACAAACAGTCCCGTTTTACTTTTTGGTCTTTTTTTCCAGGTGGCCTCTTAGATTGTTTTATGTAAATTATTTAACCCCCTGGAACAAACCTTGTTCATCTGAGGACTATACCTCCTGCTCTACTTCCTGCTTCATTCATTTTCTCTATTTGCTTTTCATCTTCTGCTCTGCTCCATTGTCTCAGGTAAGTACTGGCGCTCGGTGCATCGCTACTCACCACGGCTGGGACTTTCCCTGCTGGAGGCCAAACGAGGAGACTCGGAGGAGGCTGAGGCCGTCAATGCCATGGCCTCTCTGTCCGTGGCCAACACAAACACCATGGATCAAAGGTAAAGGGTCCCAAAGCACTGACTACTGGAGAGGCACCGCTCAAATTCCCAAATAGAACAGTGTGAAAGGTGAAGAACTGAACCTGCTGTGCTGTACTTGCGCTATAGACAGGTTCGGTCCACAGAGGTCAGGAGGTTTCTGCATGTGAAGCAAGATGGAGGAAATGTGACGAGGTGCCTGAGGTTTAATATCTTTTGATGTCTTGTTTTCCCACCAGGCCAGAGGAGGAGCCGATGGAAGAGGAGGAACCACTGTAACAGGGGGAAACACGAGGGTGTCACACTGTACCCTTTGACCTCTCTGGAGAACATCTCTTTGAGCTGCAAAGAGTCTCGACTGACCCCTTCATTTAGTCCCCATAACCCCACTCACCACGTCAGTCACTTTGATTGGCGGCCCCTCTGCCAAAACGAGGGAGAGGGGGTGGGCTCAGCCTCAGAGTAGGGAGCCAATCAGGAGACAGAGGACTGAATTGGAAAAAAAAATTAAACACAGCAGCGTTGCTTTGGCAGCACTCGCTCAGAGACACTCATTTTTTCTGTCAGTCTTCGCCCCCCCATGTTAGCCCACAACAGTCACCAAGTGACTGCAGCAGCGGGCAAGTGTATTTGGAGCGGGGGCAAGAAAGGTGTGATAACACTTAACATACATAACGGTGCTTTACACAGCTGCTCACGGACACCAGGGACAGCGACGTCCCCAGCTGTCAGACGCAGCTCGGCGTTTTCTTTCTCTTTTCTCACATATTTTCCCTGAAAAACAAGGGCAGTGCGGCAACTGAGATCATATTTTATAAGATGCGTTCACTGTGGACTTTGGTTGGCCGAAGTTTGAGTAGGCCTGTACAAAGATGTGACGGTGAGACTGTCACCTCGCTGGAGCAACCTGTCGTTGAAGGTTGATGAGTGAGAGGAGTGCCTTGGTGAGGGTCTGCTGGATTTCAGGATTGTTCAGGAAAAGATTGCCTTAAGTTAAAAGAATTTTCTCACTGAGAAATTGGTGCGAGGGAGGGAGACGGAGAGTTTCAAGTCCTTTCGGGGACAACAAAAATAAAGCAAACAATCTTTCAGCATGTTTACTTGGATCGTGATGAAGACATCGTTTACGTCTCTCGCAGCCTCTCTTGAAGAGTTACTTTACTTTTGGATGGATCTATTTTTCTGTAAAAATGAAAACGCTTTGTAAAGGTAGTTGCCAGCTTCAGTAGAAAAAGGTGCAAACATGAAACCTTCAAACAAGGAAATCGGAATAAAAACTCAAAGGTTTAGCCTTTTATGTAGCTTCCCTTTAACCGAAGTCATTGCTCTGTAACACACGTGATGAAGCATGCGTCTGAGCAGAGACCAGACATTTTTGCTAGAGTTTTGAATGTTATCCAAAAGAGAAAGCCAAGCAAGAAGCCAAAGCATGAGTTTGCATATACAGTTGTAGTTTGACTCCACTTAGCTGGCAAGTCGACATATTAGCCCTTTCATATAAGGCTCCCAGTACTTGGTTTAATGTTTACTAATGTAATCCTTCACCAGTGAGCGGCTCTTTACATGTGCTGATCCGGTTGGCAACTACCTTGGTTACTAGTGCGAGCTGAACATTAGTCATGTATATTGAATTGAATATATTTTGAGAGGCAGTAGTTGAGTATTGCCCAGTGGTATCTTCATGTATGATTTCCACATCAAGTTGTCAATTTATGATATTGACAGTGTGTTTGGTCAGTGTGTCCACTTTTCATTTTGAATTGTATAAGATTATTTTTCTAACTTTTTTCATCCATAGATTTTGTTCAGTTTTTATCCGTTTTCTGGATAGTTATAGGGCTGCCAATCACATACTTACTGTCACTTCTTGTTCAGAACTTTTTCTTTCTTATATTTATCAAAACTAAGGATCAACACTTTCTTTCTTTCTTTCTTTCTGCAGCTCTCTAGGCCTGTCTGCATTTTCATCAGCTATGTATTTATAACGTATTGTTTATAGGAGATTTGTATATGGGAAATTTATAAATGTACTCTAACTAATGACAGCTATGATATTGTGAGCGAAAAGCAGTATGGTGTATGATATTACTCCATAAACTTAAAAAAGCTGCATATTTAACTTGTCATCGACTGCACTGTTTCCAAGTTGCCCTCGAGTAAAACATTACACAGCACTGAGACTGACTTTTGAACACCGGAGTAAATCATTTGGTCACTTGGTTGCCTAATCGATACATTTTCCTCTTGTGCACGGGTGAGATGCACTTAACTTTCGACTGTGACAACATCACACATCCACAGACAAGAGGTTTAGGGGCCGTCTTATGTAGCTAGCCGAGTTTTCTTTGGCAGGAAAAGAAAAGAAGGGGACACAGATATCAAGGAAGTGGGATTTTTGGATGGGAAACATCAGCCAATTATTTTACAAGTCTCTTTCTGAGCATGTATTGCACTATCACGTTTGACTGTCCATAACATCAGCGTCTCCTTCCTCCCTCTTCCTGCTTGAATTCAGCTGACCAGACACTACTATTAGAGTCAAATTCATGCCCATCTGTCAACTGCTTTGTTAAACTCCTGATGACTATCATGTCGACTTGTCATTGATTTCATTTGAAAAAAAACTTTAAATTTGGGATTAAGTTTTTATTTTTTCATGTCTAACAAAACATTCCACTTGTTACTCCTTTAATTTGGCTTAACATGTTTTTAAAGATGAAGTTGAGGTTTTTTTTGTAGAAACTTTTAATACTATTTCTTTTTTGCAGTCTGCTCGCGCCAACTTTAACTCTTTGCATGGTTTGTGAGTCAGCATGCCTGCTTGTCTATGTAACAAAAATGTATTTGCACAATAGAAGAAGAACACTGGAGGACCTAAAAAACAAAACCTCCCACAGCAACTCCCCAAGAGCACCAGGTGGGATGGTTTTCTTCCTCTCTGGTGTGCAAACAATTCAAAAGACACTGAGAAACATTTGATATTGTTCTTATTGAATATTGTTTCCAATAAGTGATTTTAACAACAGCACTTACAACGTGTGTGGACTGTGTTTAAGAGAAACCTGCTCTGCCAAACCTCTGCTACATTCACACCTTAAACGACTCTCCCAAAGAATGTTCCTCTTTCAAAGATTTCTAAACGGGCACTGTTAAGGCAGAGAAGTGACGGATATCGGTTGAGAAAAGTTTGGAGAAAAGGGCATCGTCCTTTGATTGTCACACCCACCTCGGCCAGTTCTATATATATAACCACTGTGGCTCAAGAGCAATTCTTGGTTTACATGTAAATGGATAAAAAATGCTATTTTTGTTTGTTGTTTGTCTCTCTTGATGGAAAAAAAATGTTATCTTTCTTTGGGACCTACGCTTTGGACATTTCATCTCTGACATCTATAAAATATATTTCTGAAAAATACAAGCAAATGTGGTTGTATTTTTGCATGAAATTACTTAAAAGCTGGATTGTTTTCAATAAAAAGGTCAGGATTGGTTTGGTGCTATTTCAGGAATCTTTCACATCAATAACAGGCCGTCTGCGCAGAATCAATTCACCAGATAGACTCACAGTGAACAGAGCTGATCTTATCACCTGGTAGCACAGACACAGATTATTGGACATTGGTGAAGTGATGACCTAAAGTCCATTAGGACACTTCAGTAGTGCTGGTTATAGTGGAGGTCTTGACATTTAAAAGGCCACACGGTAGGGAAACCCTCCTTGGTTTTATGGTGTATTTCCAGTATCCACATCAGTGTACTTCGGGCCTGATCTAAAGAACAACAAATAAGTTGCCCAATACATGACAAGGAAGAGACATATGAGGGACATGAAGTCTCAGCAGACGTCTCTCTGAGTAACAAATCCTATTGCAAGACCTAATGTGTGCAACAGCTCTTAGGTGACCTGCTTGTCTTTATTTGAAAACTGTTCTAGAAAATGTCTGAAAAAAGGACAAATATCCCATTTACAAATTCTAAAAATACAATATTCAAACAGCTTTTGTTTAATGAATTACCCAAAACATAATGACAAACTAACTGGAAAAAGACAAGTGAAAATTGTCAATAGATTTTTGATCAAAATGATAATAAACCACATTGTCATATTGACCGCATGTGCAAGTTTTTTTCTGCGATCAAACACTAATTAAAAAATAAAAATTGATAAAAAATACAAAGTATAATTACAAGGGAGGAGGAAAACTGCAGGGCATCACATGCAGTGTCGTGACCAGTTGAGAAAATGCTTTAATGAATGAAAGCTATTTAAAACGGGAAACTAATATATTTGTTTCTCCAGCAGCATCTTTACTACAGAATAAAACAACAGAATCAGATAAAATGTGATTAATTAGTAGCCTAAGAGAACATTTATGTAAGTGAGCTTTTGAAAGAGATTTAAAATAGTTGAATAGTCTTGGACCGTGCGTGTTCAGTTGTCAACACAGAGCAGTGAGTGCGTGTCAGTGGACTGCCGCACCATCCAATGAGGGCAGGGCACTTCCCTTCACCTTGCAAACACTAGCGGGCTATTTCCTCTCTGCTCACTGTCCCCGGTGCTGAACCAGTGCAATGTCCCGACTGCGACATTAGCAAGTTGATTTTTCCATTTTCATAAGCCTTAAGTGGTTTTTGTATACGCTTTTCTTTTGTTTTCTTAGCAAACTGAACCGGAGTTTCGGACATGCCGAACATCGTGCTTTTTAGCGGGAGCTCTCACCACGACTTGTCCCAGAAAGTGGCTGATCGGCTAGGGCTGGACCTGGGGAAAGTGATCACGAAGAAATTCAGCAACCAGGAGACGTGGTGAGGAGCGTTTTAATTATAGTACGACGCGTGTTCTCTTGGGCTTGGCATTTAAAGCTAGAGGTGTATATTTTCGGTGGTGTAGTAGATAGCCCCTCATGTTCCTTCAGCCTCCGTGTCCCATGTGGGTCTGTTAGCTTGAAGCTAACAATACTTTACTATTCGGCGCGCAGCATTGTGCACGTGATTAGCCACGTAAATACACCAGGCTAGCAAGCTAACGTTGGTGCGTCCTTTATCGGACAGCTATGCTAGCCCTGGTGTTATTGAATTTTTGTGGTTTACGATTAGTGCGTCTGCCTAGTATGTCCATCTCTTAAAATAAGTCAGACTGATAGGAACAGGCGAAGCAGATGAAATTACATTGTTTTATTAGTTGCGTGTCATGCTAACTGGGCTAAGTGTACCGTGTAATGGGTGAATACGGACGAGGTACAGGTCAGGCAAATCTTTGCACATATTTTAAATCGTCCCCAGTTCTCAATCTAAAGTCACTATACAGAATAATGCTATATTTGATGGGAGGTAGCTGCTTGTTTTATTGCCCCGTTAAATGTTTGCCTCGTTTAAAACGGTGTTACGGTTGAAGTGGGAACCTAAGGGGTACACACTTTGACGTAACACCTGCACCGTAATGGCAGCTGTTAACCAAGCTACGTCCCTGAAACCTGTGGATTTACTTGCATAATCACGATGTTCACACTTGGGCACACCTGATTCAACACTGTGGTTTAGTTACCAATGCTGGACACGTTCCTGAAAAAGCAGCATGTTTCGGAGAACCAGTGTGTCCGTTAATGGATACTGGATAGCTCGCAGCTGTTTAATATGGTTTATGTTAGCTGGCAAGCTACATATGATAATGCGTTCTCCTAGCTATATGGTTTATTAAAGGACAACTTGCAGTTGCCCTGCAGTTCACTAGCACATTTTCGGCAGCTCTCATTATTGCCTGTGTTGAATTTGTGACCTCTCCAGTGTCCAAAACGCATGAATCTGATTTGTGCTCATTTCCAAAGAAGCCAAGTTGTGCTTCTTGTCCTTCCCGTGTCTCTTCCTGGCCTCCAGTAGACTTAGCTCTTGTGCTTCTTGTCCTTCCCGTGTCTCTGCCTCCAGTAGACTTAGCTGCGGTCATGCAGTTTGTTGGAGCCCTCCTGCAGGGTGACCTTTTGGCTGCCTGACTATGTTGACCTAAATTCATCACAGCACTGTTTGTCCCTTACATTCAGCTTCCCAGCCATCTCCTCTAAGTGTGGTTCATTCTCTTTGATGCAGTAATGGGAAACCACACACCATGTTCATGTGTTTTGTGAGCAGGGCATTAGGTCAACCACTGATGCTGTCAGTGAACTGTAGTATAATCTGGATAAAAGCATCAGGTTGTGTATGTTGTTGTGATGTTGCCTATGTTTTCCAGCATTTAGTTTTTTAATAGGGTTGTAGCTTGAACATGTGTCTTCCTAACACCTTTATCCATTTATAAGACTGTCTCTGCTGGTGATGTTTCCATCCACAGCTCTTAAAAGCCAGGGAAAACTCGAATGGTCTGTGCTGAGGTCTCCCTCTCTCTAGGGAACACAGCTGTTTGGACAACACAAAGTGCAAAACAAAGATTAGTGTCTTGTCCTTGCACACTAACAGGAAGCTGGGAACAGTGCACTAACAGCAGCTCTTCTCATGGCTCCAACACAAGCTGTGGCAGGTGACATGCAGAGGCCGAGGAGCGGATTCCTGGGAGTGGAATGAGGATGGTTTTATGTTTTGTTTTGCACAAGAAGACATGTCCAAATAAAGATTTTATTGACAGTAGCCTGAAAGTATAACCTCCAAGTTTCATTCTAAGCTATTAAGTGGGGGACACTTAAACCTGTTGATCAGCTACTGGTTAATGAAGATGGACAGTTTGTGAGCATGTCTTTCTCTGCCTGTGTGTCTGTGGCAAAGGTCACATGTTTGTCCTGTTGCTTTCCACATTGTGCCATCATTTTAGGAGCTTTGGCGGGAAATGTTTTGCTCTAGGTGGCGGTGGCTGTTCATCCTGAATGCCTGAAAATGTAGTTGGCACTTTGGAATGTTTTCTGCTTTACTTGTCAGATTTTTATCAGTTTGAATAAAGAGTTAGCTTGTGCAGCAGCTTGTGTTTTAATCTTAAACATTTGACAAAGCTGGCTAGTTTTGTTTAGTGTTTCTCAAAGTGTTTTTGTGTCTGTGCTGGAGCTCAGATGTCACATTGGCACCAGTATGAAAATGTTTCCACAGACAGTTGCATTAGTGTTGTTGTAAACAGAGCTGACGCAGTTAGTCAGCCCTAGTTGTGTGTAAACCTAAACATCATTATATGATACCAAAGTCACAGATGCATTGCATCTGTGACTTTGGTCCCAGTGAAACTGAACGTCTTCCTTTGACTTTATCAAATAGTTTTGTGTTTTTCTGTTTGGGCAGAGCTTGACTTGCATGCTGTGATATGACTTTGTCAAATGTGAGCTGCAGTGAAGCACTAGCACCACAGCCTGATTCTGACTGATCTGAAGCCTGACTGTCTGCAGTATAGTGGTCACATGACCGAGCCCGGTCATCTCCCACAAAGCAATGTTTCACACACATGCTGCCTGTTGTGTGTGTCTGGCAACACGTACTTCGCCTCCTACTAGTTTTTTCACACTTGCTCAGGTGAGCAGGGCGACTCGGCCCCAACTTGTTCCTATACATAACTTCATACAGGTCTGGTCCCAGTCCGGGTTGAGTGTGTGAATATGTCCTGCTCATAAATGCGCCTTTGAAGCTCAGTAATAAACTGCATGACATTTTAATGTAGTTAGATCTACCAGGCTGAGAGAGCATTGGCAAAGCTGAAAATTTTTCTTAAATACACATTTATACTTTTTTTTTTTTTTTTAATGGGGGTTTTAAGAAATAAAAATAATC